ACGTCGAATAGGAAGGCGTAGCAGATGGTGGCTTGAGCGTACCATTGGTACATGGAGTTGATCGCCTCGGAGAGCTCCGCGCTGCTCGACTTGTCGATGCAACACGAGTCGATCCAGAGGAGGTCATACCCGTTTGCACGCGCATAAGCGCAACATTCGCGGATCTTGGTAGATACGTGAGAGAGCAGAGCGGTCGCCGCACCGGACCCAAGCTCTGAAGGCGATGTTCGCTTGAGGTGTTTCTGTATTCGGATAACGTCCTTATACGACTCCTCGCCGTTTATGTCCCAAACATGCGAAAGAATCGCATAACGTACTAGAGTGGGATCGTGATGCCATTCGAATTGTGCCGTGTGGGTGTTTAGCAGCCTCATACAATTCTAGATAGTTATACGCGAGCTCGTGAGTTTCTAATCATCATTATACTGTCGAGCTGAAAACATACGGGGTGTCTGTAGTAGCAAATAAAGGAATTATAGGAGCCTGGATAAGCATAAGAGCTGGCCAGTCGTAAACGTTGACAAGTTGAAGCTGCAGCGATATCGTAGGTGGCAACAGCCCGCACCGCCTCTCGGCGCTTAATTCACGTGTTCGCCCAAAGCGCCCGAGAAAAACTTGATCTGACCTCGTCGGAATGAACGCAGCTCAACGCCGCAAATACACTACTCTCTGAGCTCGAGTCCGCAGATTACACCACGGAGTCGGATGTAACTTCTGCGTCTATATCTGCCCATAATGCTAGGCCCGAACATCGTCAGAACCATGGCCCACTCTATGTTCGACCACAAAGCGTTCAAACTTCACGTTGAATTCGAAGTTCCCCAGAAGCCAGCTATATGTCGAGCTTGAGGCTCTACCAGTCTCTGTAACAATTTACTTATCTGGTCCGGCGAGGACCGTTTTGGAGTACTGATGATTTATTACAGCGTTTAGAGACAAGGTTCTTGGACTCATCACAACTCAGACGCTGCAACTAATAGTGCAGCAACTGACGGTGCACCTTCGCTATAGCTCGTCTTCTCTTCTACTAGGGTTCGGGAAAGACGGAATTTTCCATAACCACGGATATTTTTTCCACATAAAAGAGGGGTGAGTTCATGAATGCTGTGATATATGAATATCCGTCTCGGCCGATGACACGATACTGACGAACGACCATAGTGACCCCGGGGTGAATCTACTATGAGCGATAGCTAGCTTGATGCCTCTAGTGGGGCTGGCTCAGGCTGCAATGGCTACTCGACGGGGTAGCTGTCTGCGAGGATAAATCGCATGTTCTAAGTGCCCTTCTTCGGATCTAGTACTACATCAGGGCATACAGGAATAGACGGTAAGCCCCAATTCCTGCCACTTTGTCCAGACCACTGCCAAAAATGAATGAGGAAGCTGCCCACGAGAAGTCTTTGCACCAGAGAGAAAATCAAGGGAAGGTCGATGGAGTCCGCGCCGAGCCGTGCATTGACGTGGCCGAGACACTGGACGGTTTCTGTCCCCACTACTAGTGCCGTGCTTATGCGACGTAACTCTAAATGCGGCTCGAATGTTGATATTATTGTCATGTAGGCGTTTACTACTGGCACGCGACGAAGAACGCGCTTGATGCCCTTTGCCATTGGGATATTATCGTAAGTAATATCCCTACTAGAGAGTCATCTTCGTCACAATTCCGCAGTTTATCAAGAACTGGCGGGAGCACAGGCTCGCTTTGAGGACTACTGTTGAGCAGTGAGAAGGCGGGAATGGCAGCAGGCTATCTGAGTCTTCCCTTAAGCTTGTGGCTACTTCGGAAGTCTGGTGGAGGTATGATGTATCCCTCATGTTCTCTATACACGTCTAACATCATGGAGCATCAGGTTGTTGTGGCATATAATGTGCACCAAGACTACGTCACAATGCCTGGTATCCACTCTCCAAACTACGAAGTTCCCGGCATCTCATAGCTTACCTGCACCACTTGTGGAACCTCCGCCGCTGTATAAAAGCTGAGTGAGCATGCGAGGATCTTGCCAATCTTTAGGTGTTTTACAACTAGCATGCGCTACCTCCTTCAATTTGGTCCCCTTTACGTGCTGGCCATCATGGCGGCTTTAGTCTTCTCTGAGTCTAGCTCGGCCTCGGTACGGCGTTTGCCCTTGCTTCTAGTGTATAGAGAGATAACTATGTACCCTCACACAGCCCGGGAATAATGTTCTCACCGATGCCGAGTTCGACGACTGGCTCGCTACCACGGATGCGAACCTCACCTTCATCGGCGATACCGAGTTCCGGACTCTCGTCAACTCCGAGGTCGACCGCCGCGCAACGACCAAAACGCGTGTCACGATGTGCGACAAGCAAGTTGGGAGTGTGTGCGGCGGCACATGCACCATCTACAAGGGCGGTCCGGCATGCGTCGGGGCTCAGGGCGTCGCGTGCATCGCGGCCACTGCCAACGTCGGCTTCTGCACCCTGAGCGGATGCAACGGGAACTGCTCCAACCTCAACACGTGCGCGGTCCCACTCGGGGACGGGTTCTGTGGTACCCCTGGAGCGGCGTCGATCGTGGTTCCTGCAAATTAGTAGGTGCAACTTTTCTGTAGTTGGCGGCTGAGCTAATTTGAAGTCTCAAGGGAGTACGACGCTGACATCTCCTAGTAGTCCTAGTCGCCGGATTCATATAAGGGCTACGAAATAATTGATAACCCCCTTTTGTTGACGCAACCGCCTCCATATTTCAAGTCTTATCTGAGACTAAGTAGTGGACGACTTTGAAGAGATACTTCGAGTGGCGGACGGTGAGTATAGCAAATTGAATGACCGGTAGGCCCGAAACGGTTAGGTTGAGGCTCGATCCCATCGCATATGTTAAGCCGTTGGAGATAAAAACACGTAGCATTAGTTTTCGTCGCCTGATTCCGAGTCCGTCAGAACCAAATGTGTCGTCGCTATAAGAGCCGTTGTGCGTCACGGTGACATGGCCTTCAACTACCTCCGACGTACCAATCAAATATTATTACCCGGGACTTACTACACAGCAACCCCTAGATGATGGTACATACTCGACAACGAACTTCTGGTTCTACATACCCTCTACTGGGTTTTGAGAGTGCTTGGGGTCGGCGGGCATATGCACAACAGACGGGCCGCCCTCAGGCCACTTAACTGAATTACTCCCCCGATGAGACCTTGCTGGTAGAAAGTTATAGAATCCGAAGTGGGGTACAAAGAAGGCAAGCAGCTTCTTTCTGGGGTCCGATTTCCAGTTTTAGCGCATTGAAATGAGAGAAGACTGTCAGATAAACACCGCACTGCGACCGGGAATGTGAAGGCAGGGTGGAAATGTCCCAGCCTAGGTACGTGGACAGAGACATCGGGACGGACACGAAAGGCACGCTTCCGTACAGTACGGAGAATATCAGTGGTTTTGAGAGAGGCTAAAGGTAGAAAGAAGTCATCTCGGGACTTCTCAGGAGGCCAAGCGAGGCACCCACTGTCACCAACAATAGAAACTGCACGCGGCATGACTACGGCCCCGTAGGTTTGAACGTAGGGCCGAGTTCACTTCGCCTCGCCGGCGAAGATCGCAACGCACACATCTGTGGCAGTAGAACATCTCTGCGGCTACGGAGAGATAGTAAGCCAGGGCGTGTACAGTGGTTCGGCCCTTTGATCGTAGGACGTCGAGGTCGAGATCGTTCCGGTCCAGAGCCACGTATTCCCAGAGCGATGTAAGGTATCGACAGTTCACAGTGAATTCCAGTCTCGGGGACCAAGGTACTGTACTGCGTGAAGGCAAGCGGAGGTCCAAAACATTCTGAGAGGTGTATAAAGGGTGAGGAAAGAGATCATAAAACAGCGGCGAACTCTAGCTCAAACTCACAGCGACTCTCTACTATTCAGACATGCAGTTCTCTACTCTCTTCGCCGCTGTTGCGCTCGCCGCTACCGTCGTTGCTAGCCCTGCGCCTGTGGCCAACAGCGACAACGTGAGTGTCCCCCGCGAGGACGGATTTGGACGCGTATCCCACTCACTGAATGTATCGGCAGGCCGCTGCCTTTCTCATTAGCGATGCCGAGCTCGAGCACTGGCTCGCCACCACCGACGCCGAGCTCACCTTCATCGGCGGCCGCCCCGACCTCACCCCACTCGCCAAACGCTCCGCCCAGTCGACGACGATCACGTACTGCAACAAGCGCGTCGGAAGCATTTGTGGTGGGACGTGCACCGTTTACACCGGAGGCGCTACATGCCTTTCCGCCCCGAACACGGCCTGCCTCGCCTCCACGAGGGACATCGGTTTCTGCGACCAAGCTGGCTGCAACGGAGACTGCGAGGCCTTCTCGCAGTGCGGGACTCAGATGGGCAACGGCTTCTGCGCCACGCCTGGCACAGTGTCAATTCTGGTCTCGTCTCTCTAGGGGGGCAGGGTAAGTTTTTCAGACTACCGGCATACGCATACTTTGGCTTACTGTTTGGACCAGCTCTCTAGCCGATATATAACGAGCGATTTGGCACAATCGAGTTCTTGAGGCATGATGTCTATGCCTGGGGTTCATTTGGGTACTGGTGGGGTGGGCTCACTCGTACTATGCGATCGAATGTTTGTAGGTTTCGGGAGGCTGTTGCGCCACAAAGTTCTATGAAGGATGTTGTCTGCATACGAGAGATTCAAATCCAGGTCCAATCAGCAATCGTGAAACGTTAAGCGCCTAACCGTCACCATCGATTCCCCAGAGTCCAAGACTGAAGCTGAAGGCTATCATACAGTATGCTCGGACCCCCTGCGATAGACCATCGGTGTGCGTTTGTTTGTGTTTAGGACATTCTCAGTCTGACAATATTTATACAGCTCTACAACTATAAGTATGATTCACGAGTTCCGGAAGCGCTCGAGCTCTAGTAAACACTCGCGTCTTCAGCTCCAGTCCGCATTGCATTTGAATTTTTCTACGTATCCGTCGTCGCGAGTCTGTCATTTGATTCAAGTGTTTCCTAAGTGTAAAAGTAAAACCAAAGTGTAGGGCCCAACCGGGAATTGAACCCGGGACCTCGCGCACACTGGAGCCCCCGAAGCGCGAATCATACTACTAGACCATTGGGCCGACAGTCAATCACCTTAATTTAGCCAATATAATGTTTAACAAATTCCCAGTACCCTGCGACCTCCCGGGACACAAGCTTCCGAGTATACTCATATGCATCTTGGCTTACTTACCTTCTCATTTCGCCTCGAACACGATCTCTACGCTCGTCAGACTGTAATCGCTAAAATGGTACGCATGCCGATGCGTAGCTGCGTCTGAGCGGCCGTGAGTGATATCCCTCAACAGTACGGTGACATCGAAGACCTCGTCCTCTCGGGCAAGCTCTTCAGCCCACCCTCTCGTTCCAACTCTCCAGTGCGGTCTCGGTCGCCGTCACCCAGCCGCGGACAATGGATACGGGAAGGGGAAGATTTCGAGTACGATTCGGATGCTGAACGACGCGCGGAGATCGAGGCACATATCGCGTCCCAGCAGCAACAAGAGTCCATCGGGATGGGCCCTGGTCGTACTGGTGTAAAGGGCGTCATCCGCGACCGGGACGAGGCTGCATCTATGGCGCGGGCAAAGCGCGCATCAGAGGTCAGGGACCTTAACAGCGCGATGGAGAAGGCGAGCCTGGGTGGAAAGACGTGGGCGGAGGAAGAGAAGGAACGGCTCGCTGAGCTAGCGCGGTTGGAGGGGGCACCCAACATACCCAAGTCGGCGCGAGGTGGTAAGTTCGGCCACCTGCGGGAAGTGGGCGTGCGTAGCTTCGTGCAGGCCGTGGAGGAAGATCGGGACGTGTGGGTGGTGGTCCACATCTACGATCCGGTGCGTGCTCTAGGCATGCGTACTTCTGAGGGATCTTGTTGAGCAGATTTCCCATGTCTAGTCGCTAGATCGCTGCGCTGCGGTCGATGAGATATTGTCTCGACTCGCCCGCATATATTCCTCCACCAAATTCTTGCGAGCACGCGCCGGCGCGATCGGTTTCGCGTCGTCATCCTCGTCCTCTACCTCAAAACCGAGCCTAGGAAATATGTCGAATTTCGGTGGCCTTTCGCGTCTTTCTGCCCGACGACCAGACAAATCGTCCCTTCGGGCAGTTCGAGAACGAGACGAGATTTTCGACGATGATGACGACGACGACGCAAACGAGGATGATGACGCAGAGAAAGACGACGAGGATCAATGGCAAGATGACGAGGTCGACACCGACGTCCTCCCCACGCTTCTGGTCTACCGTGGTGGCGATCTCGTGCACTCATGGGTGCGTGTAGATTGGGAGGCTAAGCAAGGCCTCGAGGAGCTCCTCAAAAGGTAGGCATCCTCGATGCAGAGGTAAAAGTACAATCTTGACAGATGTCCTCGGCAGGCACGGCGTTCTCACGACACAGAGGCATTACGGTGGGACAGTGGCGAACTACGATGACGGATCTGACGACGAGGACTACGACGATGGAGAACTCGTTTTCGGGAATAGCGATGACGAGCGATAGCTCAATATTGTTGTCATGTCTGGCGTAGCTTCCTGTCATTGTTGTTTTAGTCATACACCTAGAAGACTTTCGTTGATGCGTTGCGCCCAAATGACGTCGACATAGACTATGTGTGAGAATGGATAGTAGACACTTCGCCTGGTATAGCGAGGATCACGCGTCTTCAAGACCATTGTTATCTTGTCAGTACACTCCAAGTGTCTTCCGGGCTAACATAAGCGAGTAGTATCATTCCAGTAGGAAGACAGCTTCAGAACAGCAAAGCTAACAATACACGCGAGAAACAATCAACAAGAGGAGCTCAATAGAGCTGCATCTACAGTAGCCATCGAAGGCACATTTTGAATTAACACAGCAGATTGGAGCACGAGATAATGACGCGGTAGAAATAGCGTAGGTCGGAGGCGATGCGAGAGCGAGCTCGGAGCAAAAGTAGCAGATCCCAAGAGTCGTCCAAGGGTCGTCCAAGGGTCGTCCAAGAGTCATCCAAGGGTCGTCCCAGAAGAGTTCGCGAGCTAGCACGGATTCTTGCTCCTAGGACATGCAGCCGGACGGTGGTTGATATTCCATCTCTATGATGAAGTCGTTGCGGTTGAGAAGCGTCAACGCCGTGATGCCCACTGTTTGGATACAATATTTCCCCCCGGTATGGATCGTATATCGGGGGTCCGAGGATGTTAGCTCACGACCCGCCTTCTACATGCAGGAATGAGTGACCTCAGTCCTGAATGCAGAAGGAGCCTTCTCCCGCACGAACCTCAAAGAAGTCCCTAACGACCCCCGCCAACGCGAATGCGAGTGCGGCGTGACTCATGCCCGCTGTCAAAGGAACTAGTTGCTTGAGACCATAAGAATGGTACCCCGGCCACTGACGTGCGCAGGTTAGGTAACCCTTCTCGTGCACTGCGAACGAGGCGCACTTACGTTAAACACAACGTACATCTTGGCAAAGGGTATTGGAATGGGCGAATCCGCGTCTTGTACCATGGCGGTGCCATTCAAAAGGTCAAGCACATTACAACCGCGTAACGTCCGGGGGTCCCGAAATTCGATGTGCCCCGAGCTCGAGCCTGGGCATAATTTATGGGATTGATAGCGATAAAAGCGCGTCTCTCCGGGAATCGCTACAAAGCCCCAGTCGGACGACATCAGAGCGATAAGACAGCTATAAGTTGAGGAGAATAATTGAGGCAGCTACAAAGGAGGAGGCGAACTGTTGGACCATGCAACATCTTTAGTGAGGCTAAGTATAATGCCAAGGACCAAGCGGAACGGGGAGCAAAGCAGGGACCCATGCGCAAAGCACGACTAGAGCCTACAGCATGGACAGGGGAGACCGTGGTAGAGCACGCATTATGCATGACAGAGGAGACGCCTGTGTTGCAGCAGAGAGAGAGAAACCTAGGGGAGGAATGTGTCGCCACAGACCCAAGCGTAGTGTCAAAGCGAATGGTCAAAGAGGAAGCGCGCGGCGGGTCCTGGGTTACTAAACTTTAGAACACGATACGTCGCATAGCTACACCACTCAGCTTCGATAGCGTCAGATTCGGCTGTGGCGTAGATGTCTGGACGTACTCCAGCGGGGGTTGAGATAAATATCGACGGCGTGTAGGAATCTGGGTTATTATATACACGACCACCACCGTGACCTTGCAGAGCTCATTAGTCCACAGTGATACTCACATGTGTATAGAACGTCCGGAGGACAAAAAGATTTGAGAAGGGCTTTGCCCCCAAGCGTTATCCGATGAAGATTGCCAGCCAGTCAGCGACAGCCCATCATGCATGCAGTCAATGCAAGCATCCAAGCGTCAAGGGTGACCAGTGTGCCCATGCGAAGGCGCTTGACGTGGCTAGACCTTGACTCCCACCACGAGTCCCATAGATATTGTGAAAGATTCAATGTTAGGCGTAGCCATGAGACATGTGCAAACCATTGTCGAGAACATGGATGGAGGAGGGCAAACACTCGGACAGTCAGCGTTTGGGAACGTCAACGGCCGAGCGCTTCAGAGGCTGCGATGGAAAATGTGCGCTTATTTTAGTCGCGGTGCATATCTATTTTTGGAAAGCGCTGTAATCGCTCCAACGCGCAATCTTGACATCGTGAAGTTGAAAGCACGACTTTACGAGACCATACACAGAGCATGCTATGGTAAAAAAAGTCCCTCATCATTGGTAACGCTATCTCCTAGTACGATGGCAGAAACACCTGTTTGATAGGGGTGAGCACGGCCTCGGAAAACGGTTGCTTGATAAAAGCTTACTTCTTATTTACTATTTTGAAATTCACAAGGTCGAGACGACGATGGATTGTGTTTCTGCCGCGTAGCAGAACCCGTCTTCCAAGAAAGTCCCGCATGCCGATAGGGTTCTGCAGTTTCCGTCACAGCCTTTCTTATCGCAGAAGCCGACGTTTTTGTTCGCGGCAAGGCACTGGATTTTTGAAGTGTCCACACAGGCAGCGCCGCCTTTGTAGACCGTGCACTCGCCGCCACACGTGTTTCCGACCCGCTTGGTGCAATACGTGACAGTTGTAATCTGGGCGGCGCGTCGAGAGAGTGGGATCGAGTCGTTGAAGTCGCCGCCAACGAAGGTAAGCGTCGCGTCGGTAACGGAAAGCCAGTGAGTAAATTGCGCTTCACTCATGAGGAAGCTTGGGCTCTATGAAATATGTGGGGTCAGCCTTGCGTTCTTTGTACGCCTCTCATTCCACAGTTCTCGCCTGATCCATAGCCACATCGTCGGCAGCGCGCTAGTATGCACAAAGCATGGTGTCAGTATACCATCATGCAACAAATTCGTGCAAAGCAAACCTACAACAACGGTATTGGCTAGGACCGAGCTCGTGAGGATGAATACGAGCCAGAGAAAGGATATAGTGGGCATGTAGATAGTGGTTAATGCGACTAAGGTTTTGAAGAGGTCTTAGGATTTTCGGGATTACAGACTAGCGCTAACCCTTTATACCCTTCCGCGTCGGTGTCAAGTCGATCTGAGTCGAGATATAGACGCAATGGCGCCCGAGTCTCGACCTTTTCGAGCCCTCTAGATCACAATGTACCGTGGACATTCAGAAAGGTTCCACTCGCTGTGCCTTCGCTGGTTTTGACTGTCGGCTTTGACACGACCCTTGGCCTGATTACTGCGTCTCAGCCTAGGCCAGATGCTGCTGTGGATACAGTGTGAGAATGTCTAATTGGGGGACGACAAGGCCGCGCCGATATGCCCCCGGACATAGCCTTGAATCTTGATCGTACCTCGGTGGTATTCGGCGTAGCCAGTTCTAGTTGTACCTATTCTATCGGCCACAGCCGCATTATCGGATTGGATATCCCCGGAAGACCATGGTGCGGTAAGGCTTAAGCGCGTTTATCGTTTGAAAGGACGTTTATGAGTTTAGAACTAAATGCGAGAACGTAATATTGCCGTGAATAACGACAAATCCGGCGTACCTCACGGGGCGAGCGTCCATGGTATGTACGCCATTTTTGCCGTGAGCAGTTCAGTCGAATCTTCCCCGGTGACATCGGGGCTGAAAACAAGATCTCGGAGCGTCTGACCCCCAGACAGCTCGGC